AAACCGCAGTATAACAACAACATCAATTGTTCTTCCGTCGTTGCTGCCGTCCGTCCCGGGGCTACTTCGTCGAAGCGTTTACTCGAACGCCGTAATCGAACCGCTTCACTCGACTACTTCGTCGAATCGTTGTTACACTCGGCTACCTCGACGACAATCCCGTTTACCCGGCCGTGTTGGTCGACGCGTTTGCTCAGAGAGACAATCTCTCCCTCCGTTCTTGCACTCGGACAATCCTTCGTCGAACCCTGCTTACAGTTGGCCGCGTTGGTCGACGCGTTTTCTCCGAGAGATAATCCTCCTCCTTCGTACACGCGGCCACGTCGTCGAATCCTTCTTACACTCGGCTACTACGTCGAACTGCGTCACTCGGACCGCCCACGTTTGCTCCGAGAGACAATGTCTCCCTGCGTTTTGACACTCGGACAATGCGTCGTCGAATCGGTCTTACACTCGGCTACTTCGTCGAATCGCTGCACTCGGACAATCTCCGTTTACCCGGCCGCGTTGTGCGACGAGTTTGCTCGGAGAGACAATCTCTCCTGCTGCTTACACTCGGCTACTTCGTCGAATCGTGGTTACACTCGGCTACAATGCGGTGTACGCGGCCGCGTTTCCTCGGACACAATTTGGCCTTATACTCGAATGCTTATGCGCATGCTATATGAGTTCTGCACTATACCCTTAGAATGCACGTACGCATCTTTTAATAATTAACGTCACATAAAGGAGAATACGACCCCGTCATATTATTCATTTAAATCTACATTTTAAATGCATTTAACCTGTACCCACGTGTCCGCATTGTCGTATTAAAAGAAGTGGACTACACAGAAAAAGAACAAAACAAGGCAAAAGTAAGCACAAAGAAACAGAAGTAAGCAGAAGAGAGCAGAACAAAAAAAGAAGGTATGGAATAGTGCAAACAAGAAATATATTATGTATATCACATAATGAAGTAAAAGTGGTCTACCGTTAGCATGCGTTATTGCATTATTCCCATTCATATGCCCCGTCATCCTAATGTCACAGTTGCTGCAATAGAGCATCTACATATAACTCCCTATCGTGCAAACGACATTCGAGCGCGCAGTCTTCTATAACGCACGCTAGAATGAGTATCCATGTTTTAGCGGTTACGCGTTTGTGCATGTAAGGTTGCGGATGCAGTTGCATGCGTGGTAAATCTCGCACTCTTAGCATCTGTTGTGCTGTATTTACTTTTTCCACTTCTAAGTGTTTTTCTACTCGTGGTACTGCGCCTTTGTCCGACACTGTCTCCTCCTCGATATGTTCTAACAAATGCTTAAACCACTCCTCCGCACCATATATATGCATAAGCGCATGTTGCTTTGCGACCCATTCTTTCCATGCATCCAGGTTCTTCATCGGCAGGGTGGCCGCTTCACCGAGTTCACGGTTCGCGTATACTCCGTTGTCGTGGTTTGCCGCCATGTGCTCAAGCAGGTATTGTTTCCATTCCAACGTTAGCTGCAAAAACCACGGTTTCCCCGTGCACTCCCGCAAAAGGTATTTGTTGCGGTGAATCCAGTGAATCCAATTAGTGTGGTCGGGGGTCAGGTTTGCATTCCCGGGGTCGGAAGAGTATGC